GAGGCAGAGGACGAGCAGGCAGGGAGAAGACGGCGAATGAAGAGACTGGTGGACAGAACAAGACAGGGGGCGTGAGAGAAGGAGAGGGAAGGGTGCGGCGGTGGCGGAGACGGAGGAGGAGACGGATGATGACGATGATGATGATGATGATGATGATGCTGATGCTGATGCTGGTGATGATGATGATGATGATGCTGATGCTGATGATGATGATGATGATGCTTATGCTGATAATGATAATGATGAGGAGGAGGAGGAGGATGAGGAGGAACGGGAGGCGGGGGAGGAGGAGGAGGAGGAGGAGGAGGAGGAAGAGGATGAGGAGGAGGAGATGGATGACGGGGAGGAGGGGCAGGGGGTGGTGCCACATTCCGTCACACCTCCTCCCATCCTCCACCTCAGCATCCTCTGCCCTGCGGGGCCTTGTACTCGTCCAGCAGCTGCCCAGTGGTGATCGCGAGGGCCTGCTCCTGGTCGCCAGCGTGGCCCGCGGCCTCGCCCTCGCCCGCCCTCGCGGGCACCAGCGTGACCTTGCCGTCGCCGCCGACCTCGGAGATGCTGAACTTCGCCGCGTCGCCATCCTTGCTCTCGACGCGGACGCCGACGCGAAAGCCCATCTGCACGAGGCCACCAGCGTCGACGGTGCCGCCCGAGAACTGCCTGCACACAGGGCCCGCTGGAGGCGACGGCGTCGGGACCTTCTCCAGGACGGGCCGCGGCTGTTCGAGCGCCTTGGAGTCGGGGTACTTCTCCCAGACTTCCTCGAGGAGCCACTGCCCAATCTCAGCGATGCTGCCAAACGTCCTGCAGCTCTTGGATTTCTTGTTATGAATGTGCATCACGCACTTGACCGAAAACTCACCACACAACTTGGAACGGTCAGCCTTCGTCATGCTGGCTATCCTGTCGAAGAAGAGGTTTGCGTGGCGAATCATCGTGGCCACAGCGATCACCTGCGGCTTGGCCTTCCCCGAAATCGTCTGGCAGTCAGTGCTCGTGAGGAGGCGGGACTCGTTGCCGCGGCAGTGGTTCTCTGGCGCTACCAAGCACGCCTTCGCGCACGCCACGATGTACTCAGGCGCCTGGGCCAGCGGCACGGATGCCAGCGCCCTGAACACCGACCCTGGCACGTCCCTCCGAAACGTGAGGGTCTTGGAAAACTCCTCCAGCTCTTTGAGGTAGATCGGGTTCGCCCCTCCGCTGAACGCCTTCACGAACGCGCAGAGGTCATGACATTGACCAGCGAGGAACGGCCGCCCCCGTTCCACGTCCCTCGCGATGGCGTCCCAGGACTCACCAGTGCAGCTCTTGCACTTGGATGCTCGGGCATGTATCTGGAGAAGCGTCTGAAGCTTCGATTGGCACCGCTGTGCGCCGTGGATCAAATTCCCAGCCTCCTGGATGAAGTTGCCGAGGTCGGGGCAGTTGTCGGCGACGCTGGACCTGATGATGGTCCAGACTAAGCCGTTCTCGACCGCCTCGTGGCCAGCGCCATGGGGGGGGCGGGGGGAGGCGCGGACGCGCTGCCTTCGAAGGCGCCCCGTCGGGCGCGACCGAACGCAGCGCCACTGCACCTCCCCCTCCCCCCATGGCTCTGGACGCCTCCTTGTACGTCGGGCTCGCTGCGAAGATCTTGTCCTTCGCCAAGCGGCCGTCGACGCTCAAGTGCACCGGCGACGGGATGGTGTTGCACTCTGCGCCGATCGCGCGGAGGCCCGTGTTGGTGTGGCCGCACGTGAGCGAGAGGTAGCGCAAGTCCTCATCTCGCATGGGCGGGATCATGCCGTCCGAGTTCTGGGCGAGCATGGCTTGGAACGACTGCTCGCGCTTGCGGGTCTCCGCATTGGCGCTGAGCTCGACAGCGATGGCGTTGGACGCCTCGGATCGACGAGCATCCGATCAACCCACGAAAGATATATACATATATAGAGAGAGAGAGAGAGTGAGGCAGAAGGGGGGAGATGAAGAGAGAAGTGCAGGGAATAGGATTGAGGGAGGCGACGGGCATAGACGGGGCGGTACATGCAAGAGGGGGAGAGAGAGAGAGAGAGAGAGAGAGAGAGGGAGAGAGATAGGAGAGAGAGAGAGAGAGAGAGAGAGAAAACATGATAATGAGTATATGAATGGTCCGTAGGAGGTGTGGGTGTAATAGCACGGTGGTGTTGTGGGGAGGGAAGTGGGAGAAGCAGGAGGTGAGGGAGGAGGAGGAGGAGGAGGAGGAAGAGGAGGAGGAGGAGGCGGAGGGGCGAGAGGAGCTCGACGATGATGATGGTGACGATGAGGGTGAGGAGGATGGGAAGAGGAGGAAGAGGAAGAGGAAGAGGAGATGAGAAGGAGGAAGAGGATTGGGGAGGAGGAGGAGAAGGAAACGGAGGAGGAGGGAGGAGGGAGGATGAGGATGAGGATGAGGATGAGGATGAGGATGAGGATGAGGATGAGGATGATGATGATGATGATGATGATGATGATGATGATGATGAGGAGGAGGAGGAGGAGGAGGAGGAGGAGGAGTAGGAAGGGGAGTGGAGGGCGATACTGACCACCCCGAGCAGGAACACGGGACGTCGGGGTTCCCCTCCCCAATTGCCAGCCCACCGTGTTGAAGTCCCCAGGGTCATCACCCCCCAAAAAATATGACATCCTGATCCTCTTTCGCCGAATCTCAAGACTTGTTTTCTGAGGAGGCTACGTCCCAGGGGGTGGTATTCCTCCTCCTTCTCCTCCTCATTCTCCTCCTCCGCCTCCTCCTCCTCCTCTTGCTCCTCCTCCTCCTCCTCCTCCTCCTGCTCTTCCTCATCATCATCCTTGTCCTCCTCCTGCTCGCTCTCATCCTCATCCTTTTCCTCTTCCTCCTCCGCCTCCTCCTTTTCCGTTGCGCGTCGGGCCTCGGCCCAGCTGAACCCAGCACCTGCGATCGTCCCGATGAGCTCGTGGACGTCGAAGGGCTCGACGCCCGCTCCGTAGCGGTTCCCAGTGTCGACGCCCACGTGCTGGGGCTTCGACTGCTCCTTGAACGCCAGGTCGGCGGCCACGAGCTTCGCCAAGATGGCGTCTAGCAGGGCCCGCTTGTTCTGGTGCGCCGAGTCGCCCTCCAGGGCGGCGGCGCACGTGGTGTTGATCCACGCGAAGAGCTCCTTGTGGCCAGCGGCCTCCGCCATCGGAGCTGACCCGCAGCTGGCAGCCCGAAGGGGCAGCCACAATATGAAGCTGAAACAGCTATGGAGCTTCGGCAAAATGACGCGGTGTCTTGCCCCAAACCCACGTGGTTCCGACAGGAACCACAAGATTTTAACCGACAACGAGTAAGAGACTATCGCAAGAATCGAGCCAGGGGCCCAGGCTGGGCTGCTCAGTAAGTACATAGAGGGGACTTCGCTAACCAGGTTAGCAGAACTTAGAGAAGCAAGTTACCAACCACGTTGTGACCACATGCGAAACACATGCTACACGCTACTATCCTGACCGCGTAACGTGCCTAACCTACATCCGCGGTTGGGCTAACCTGGTGATTAAACGGGATCTGTAGATTGAGGGGGTTCAGTAACCCGACGATGTAGATATCCCACAGACGGATGCAAATACCCAACATACACATGAGATGTGCTGCTTCCATTCAGTGTACATCGTGAATGTAACAAAGATATTAATGATTTGCATGTACATGTAACCCAACGACCTACATGCTAAAGACGGCGGGGCTCCAAGTAGCCTTCATACCCGCAACCCAGGCTCGGTGGCGGAATGAGCCGAAGGACATTATACATAGATGTACCTATACGACCACCCTTCGGGTGATAAGGAGGTTTTTGGGGGGGGAGAGGGGGGGGAACCAACATCAGACTCAACCGATCTCACTATCGATCTCACTCAACGGGACACCACAGGACACCACGGGACACTTGTCGATCTCACTATCGGTATCACTATCGATCTCACTCAGCGGGACACCACAGGGACACCTCTCGATCTCACTATCGGTCTCACTATCGATATCACTATCGATCTCACTCAGCGGGCCACCATAGGACACCACGTGACACCTCGGGACACCACATCGATCTCACTATCGATATCACGATCGACCTCACTATCGATCTCACTCAACGGGACACCACGGGACACCTCGGGACACATGTCGATATCACTATCGATCTCACTCAGCGGGACACCATAGGACACCACGGGGCACCACATCGATCTCACTATCGATCTAACTATCGATCTCACCCAACGGGACACCAAGGGACACCTGCCGATCTCACTATGGATCTCACTATCGATCTCACTCAGCGGGACACCACGGGACACCTCGGGGCACCACATCGATCTGAGTATCGATCTCACGATCGATCTCGCTCAACGGGACACCACAGGACACCACGGGACACCGGCGGGACACCGCGCGGCACCGGCGGCCGGAGGAGCAACATTTGGTCCGGCCGCGTCCCAACCAGCGGGACACCGCGCGGCACCGGCCGCCGGAGGAGCAACATTTGGTCCGGCCGCGGAACAGCCACAGGAGGATTTCCTCTCGCCCGCCCACGCAGCTTATCCTCGCCCGCACGCACGCACGGCACGCACGACCCGAACCCGAAACCGAAATCGACTCTCCGGTAGGGGGGGTCTCCGTTTCACGTCGGACTCACCCCCAAACCTCCGATGTACACATACATGCATACACACCTATCTATCCACATCCCAACGATGGATATTCAGGTGGGCGGGATGAGCCTACATGTGTAACACTTTGGCCTGCGACAATATATGCGACTATTTGTTGCTGCGCTTCTCTGGCTGCAGCTTGCTTGACCAGCTCCTCCGGGGACATCTGACCCTCCTCCTCCTCCTCCTCCTCCTCCTCCACCTCCTCCTCCTCCTCCTCCTCCTCCTCCGCCCCCTAACCCTTCTCCTCCGTGCTGCACTCCCGTCCGTCCTCGTGATCTGCTCCTGCTGCCCACCCGCCCCACCTCCTCATCCCGCTGCTGCTGCCCCCCGGGCACCGTCTGCAGCGACACCCAGGCGCAAGGCACCAGCCCGAGGGCCACCTTCCACCTGGGCACCCCGGGGAGAACGCCGACGGCCACCGCCTGGGCGGCAGGGACGCCGAGGCGCGCGCCAGCGAAGGAGGTGCGAGGGGGTGCCTTCGAAGGTCCTGGAAGGCTTTGGGATGTGCAGAACGTCCCTCGAACATTCTAGGATGTTTCTTGTGGTCTCCAACGGTTCCCGGGGGAGGGGAGAGAGGGAAATTGAAAAAGAAGGGGAAGCGAGACGGGAGGCGGAAAGAGGAATGTGGTGGAGGGGATTGGGGCGGTCCGGGAGCATGGAGGAAAAGAGCGACGTGGGGGAACAGGGAGGAGGAGGTAGGGGATGGGGAGCAGGACGGGTGGGATGGATGAGGTGGAGGTGGAGGAGACGACGAGACAGGGGGGGCCAAGATGAGGATGGAACAGGGAGGATAAGGAGGAAGGAGAAAAGGGCGGAGAAGGCAAGAGGAGGTGAAGGTGGAGGAGTGAAGGGTGGGGGCGGTGGAGGAGGAAGAGGTGGAGGGGATGAAGAGGAAGGGGCGGGAGGAGGGGGATCGATGGAGAAGTAAGAGGGGGTGAAGGAGGTGGATGTGGGGAGGAAGAGGTGGAGAAAGCCGAGGAATTGGAGGAGGAGGAGGAGGAGGAGGAGGAGGTGGTGAGAGGAGGACGAGGTGGGGGTAGGTTGTGGTGGAGGCGACGATGGAAGACAGAGTCGAATCGGCGGATCGGGTGGTGGAGACTGCGGGGGGATAGAGGTATTTTCCTGAACGGTGCCTGCACTACCTGCCTTCTCAAATCCGCCGATCCGGCGTGTGAGTTTCAAGGAGTCTCAGCTACAGCTTCGAGGCTGAGCCTCAGCCTCTGGGGGGGTTGCCGGGGTGGCTCTGCCGGGGAAGGGGGGGTGGGGGGGGGGGTGCGAGTTTCCGGCGGATGCGTTTTTTGACACCCCTCACAAGGATCGTGGCCTCCGAGGGGGGTCCGAACTCGAGTGCCACCCCTCCCGCACCAAGAGGCTCCGAAGAAGCCTCCAAGAGGCCCCAAGGGGCCCAGAAGAGGCCCCCAAGAAGCCCCAAGAGACCCCCAAGACACCCCCCAAGAGGCTCCCAAGTGGCCCCAAGAGGCCCAAGAGGCCCCCAAGAAGCCCCAAGAGGCCCCCAAGAGGCCCCCAGAGGTCCCAGCCAACCACGAGATCCCAACCAGCGTCCATGAGGCCTCTGACCCACCACCCACGCACGGTGGTGGGATAGGCCGAAGGCCACTGGAT